CCAGTGCTGGAACTGTAGGTGTGTACCACCTGTCCAGTGCTGGAACTACAGGTGTGTACCACCTGCCCAGTGCTGGAACTGCAGGTGTGTACCACCTGCTCGGCTTGTTCATGGTTTCAGGACTACAAACTGGACCCTGGAGCCCTAAGAACTGGGGCTGCTTAGGTGGTTCAGCAGTAAAGATGCTTGCTGCCAAGCCTGACAACCTGAGTTTCATCCCTGAGGCCCACATGGAAGGAAAGAACCATCTTCCGCAAGTTGTCCTCTGACTTCTGTATACATGCTATGGCAGATGCATGTCCCCACACACAAATAAGTAAGTAAATACAATTTAAAAACCACTTTTACTCTGTAAGGGGTGGCACTGTGCTATTGAGTATCTGAATCAGAAAGCCGACACAGCCAAATGTCACATTTCCACTGTGGGCAACTTTCCTCAATGAAAATGATGAGGATTTTTGGGGGGGAGGGTTGGGGAATGAGGGTGGACCTGTTGGCATACACCTTTAATCCAAGCACTCAAGAAACAGAATTAGGCAGATCTCTGTGAGTTCAAGGACCGCCTGATCTACATAGGGAGTAGTATGTAGGCCAGCCAGGGCTATGTACTGAGACTCTTGTCTCCAAAAAAACAACAAACAAAACAAAGCAAACAGATGCCTTTGTGAAGCCAGGTGCGCTAAAATGATATCTTTCAGCCAGGTGTGGTAGTACGAATCTGCAGTCCCACCATTTGTAAGGCTGAGGACAGGGATCCCAAATCTGTCATCCTTCTGCCTCAGTCTCATGAGTGTTGGGATTGCAGGCGTGCACCAACATGCCCAGCTACTGTTTTTGACAAACAGCCTTTTCTGAAACCATGTGCTAGCTCCTGAAGCTGCCTGGCAGGGTGAGCAGGTTCTGTGGGAGTCCCCAGCTGTCTGTGATGCTGACCCTACCGATGTGGACTGTAAGTCTCTAGCAGTGGAAGAGGCGGATATCTAGACGAAAGGCAACAGCATTGATGTGGCCTGGGACTGCCATTCCAGCTCCCCGGTGGCCTCTGACCCACTGTGGTCTCTTGCTCAAGAGAGACATGGCTGGTGCCCTGTAACCTACTGTCCGGGCTCTGGGACCTCTGAGCCAGGCCTCATGGGGAAGGGGGTAAATTCCATCTGATGCCTGCAAGTTTTTTCCCACCATACTTTACAGACACAGGTTCATCCTCTGGACGGCTCCCTGCCACTTATGTTCTGAGAAGTCCCCTCTGGAAGTGTCCTTGTCTTCAGGGAAAGAAAAGTTTGGTTTATTTAATCAAACTAATTAATTTTTTTCTTCGCTAGTTGATTTGATTTTGTGTGTATGTGTGGCTCTACATGAGTAGGTATGCTCATGGAAGCCGTAGGTGTTGATCCTCAGATGCTGGGCTCCTTCTAAATGTTTTTATAATTACATATATACTATTGAGGGTGGGTGGGTTACAAGCTTGTGTAGAGGTCCCGAGATCAAGGCCTGAGTCTGACTTGGTGACAGGCGTCTTTACACACTGAACTGTCTTCCTGGCCTTACCTTTTTTTTTTTTTTTTTTTTTTGAGACTTTCTCCTTTCGTGTAATTCACTGGTTAAGCTGGGCTAGTCTGCTGTAGAGCTCCAGGGATCTGTCCATCTTCGTTGATGAGATGGGTGATGGGATTACAGCATACACCACAAAGCCCAGCGTTCTGATGTGGGTTCTGAAAACAGAACTCAGGTGCTCAGGCTTGCCTGACTTTCTGCTGTCTGAGCCATCTCGCCAGCCCCAGAAGTCAATGTGGAGGACAGAGCCCATGGCCTTCTCCTGCTGCCAGGCTCTGGAGGGTCTGCCAACAAAGGTTTCTGGGTCAGGGTGTCTTAGTGTAGGCAGAGTTATACAGATCTTCTGTCAAAGTGGCAGGAGGGCTGTATTAGTTACTTCCGTGATGCTGGGACGGAAAGCCTGACCAACAGCTTCTGAGAGCTGAGTGATTCGGGCTCACAGTTTCAGAGGGTTCGATCTGCTGTCACTGACCCTCCATTTCCTCTCTGTCCCAGCCCCAGGCCATGGAATGGTGCCCCACAATGAGGGAGGATAGATCTTCCCGGTGCCCCTTCAGTTAATTCTCCCCAGAAACATCCTCACATTTGCACTCATAGATATATCCCCAGTGTCCTAGGTGATTTTACGTTTAGACAAGTAGGTAATGAATATTATTCATATTATGTAGCATAATTATGAAACGTTTGAGGTTTAAATTTATAGAAAATCATAAAAAAGGCCCAATGAGGTGATCTCTGGGACCCACATGATAGAAGAAGAGAATGGACTCGTACAGCGTGACTGGTTTCCACATGTGCACCACGGGATGAGTCTCAAATATGCATGTGCACACACACACACACACACACACACACACACACACACACAGACACACACAGCAGCCAGGCACAATGATGCATGCATCTAATCCCTACACTCAGGAGGTTGAGTCAGGAGAATAGTGAGTTCCAGGCCAGAGAGATCTCATCTCAGAAATAAGACTAAATCATCAGGAGGAATCACTTGATACCCACCAGGGCGAGCACAATTTAAAACATGACAAGTGTTACAATAGCAAGTGCTGTCAAGAGTGTGGGGCAATGGGCCTTTGTACACCATGGAACACAGTGTAAGGGCCTGGGCTGGGAGGCTCCCGACTGTCATCCCAGCGTTGGAGACTGAGCCTGCAGGACTGCTACAATTTCAAGGGCAGTCTTGGCTACATAGTGAGTCCCAGGCAGGACTCTGCTACAGAGTGAGACCCTGACTCAGACCCTGACTCAAAGCACAAAAAAAATCAGAGTCAGGAAAATGGTAGAAAGCACCTAAGAACAGACCCGCAAGCTAAGTTCCATCCCTGGATCCCAAAAGGGGGCAGGAGAGAATGAATGCCTATAAGTTGGCCTCTAATCTCCATATGTACACTGTGGCACATGTATATACCTGTACACACACACACACACACACACACACACACACACACCATTAAAAATGAAATAAATCTTACAAAAATTAAAAACCCAAAGCTGGGCATTAGTGACACACACATTTAATCTGAGCACTTGGAAGGCAGACATAGGCAGATCTTTGATATCAAGATTAGCCTGGTCTACAGAGCAAGTTCCAGGACTACCAGAGCTACACAGAGAAACACTGTCTCAAAACAAACAAACAAACAAACAAACAAACAAAAAAACAACCAACTAACCAACAGACCAACCAAAACAAGCCAACTAAAACCTAACCCAAGCCGGGCAGTGGTGGCGCACACCTTTAATCCCAGCACTTGGGAGGCAGAGGCAGGTGGATTTCTGAGTTCGAGGCCAGCCTGGTCTACAGAGTGAGTTCCAGGACAGCCCAGGCTATACAGAGGAACCCTGTCTCGAAAAACAAAACAAAAACAAAACAACAATAACAACAAACCCTAACCCAAACAAAACACAACTGTAAGAAGAGAGTATAAAATGGTCTAGTGTGAAGAAAGCAATGGTGATTGTTCAGTGTTGAGGTACGTACTCCATGAGAATGAAAACACATCACACAAAAACTTGTGCTTTGTTCAGTACAGATGTCTTAATAAGTCAAGGAATGTGTGAAACTGACTGCAGATGTCCACAGAAGAGAAGATTATTCAGCCGTACAAGGTTGGATGTGGGGCTGGAGAGATGGATCAGCAGTTAAAACACACACTTTGCTCTTGTAGAGAACCCAAGTTCGGTTTCCAGAATCTATGTCAGGGGGCTCACAGCAGTCTGTGTCTCCAGCCCTGGGCACCTCACTGTACTGGGTGCCCTATACTGGCTTCTATGGGCATCTCTACCCTGTGCACAAACCCACACATACACATAATTAAAAATAATAAAAAGTTGATGCTGGAGAGACTGCTCAGTGATTAAGAGCGCTGGTTGTTCTTCCAGAGGACCCGGGTTTGATTCCCAGTGCCCAGATAGTTGCTTACAACTGTCTATAGCTCCAGTTCTGGGTGACACATGGCCTTCTTCTGGCCTCTGCAGTCCCTGTGCACATGCGGTGCACAGACATGCATGTAAGCAAAACACAAGGCTCCACTTGTAACATTCCTCTCTATCCTTGACTCAGATTTTTTTCTAATTTTATTTCATGTGCCCCTTAACTTGGGTTTCTGAGTTTTCAGTGGAAGTGGCCATCCATTCTCACGCTAGGCAAATGGTAAATACATTTTGAACCTCTTTGGTTTCTGCCTGTAGAACTCTTACCTGGACCTGCTGTGGAATTCGGACAAATCCTCATCCACTTTACTCGCCAACCTGTCTATGTCCTCAGAGGGGGCTATGAATGCTTCTCTGGCATGTACCACTTCTTCCGGACCCAGAAGATCATCTGGATGCCCCAGGTGAGAGGAGAATATGCATAGGCTATGAGGAAGTGAGGCTGGAGACCGACAGGTACATGGAGGAGGAGAAAGAGAAGATGGGGATAGAAGACATGGGAAATGAGAGTGGAGAAACAAGCCTGGGGCAACTGGTAGGGTTCGGTCCATAATAACAGATTCTGAGCTAACACATTGTTCTGTCTGGTTTTGTGTGTCAACTTGATATAGCTGAAGTTATCACAGAGAAAGGAGCCTCCCTTGAGGAAATGCCTCCATGAGATCCAGCTGTAAGGCATTTTCTCAGTTGGTGATCAAGGTGGGAGGGATCATTGTTGGTGATGCTATCCCTGGGCTTGTGGTCCTGGGTTCTATAAGAAAGCAGGCTGAGCAAACTATGGGAAGCAAGCCAGTCAGCAGCACCCTTCCATGTCCTCAGCATCTGCGGGGCGCCGCCTCGCCGAAAAGGAGAACGCCACGCTCAGGATTCTTCTGACAGCAGTTTTATTGTTACAGCTCTTTTAGTGTTACAGCTCTCTTAGATGGTAGTGAGGCGAGGGACCCCAAGCCCCAAAAGCCTATGGCTTATATAGAGCTTTAGGAGACGTGCCACACACTCATTGGCTCTTATGATGTCGCCAAATTAGCATACTGGTTTTCACGCCTTGCGCAGGCGCACATTCAAGCAAGGCTCGCAAGAAGAACCAGGAAGCAGGAAACCAGCGCCATCTTGCAATGGCGGACGCGGCTCCTAACAAGCATCAGCTCTGCCTCCAAGTTCCTGCCCTGCTTGAGTTCCTGTCCTGACTTCCTTTGGTGATGAACAGTGATGTGGAAGTGTGAGCTGAATGAACCCTTTCCTCCCCTACCTGCTTGTTGGTCATGGTGCTTTGTGCAGGAATACAAACCGTGACTCAGACACATTGTCTTAGTTAGGGTTTTACTGCTGTGAACAGACACCATGACCAAGGCAACTCCAGAAGGACAACATTTAATTGGGGCTGGCTTACAGGTTCAGAGGTTTAGTCCATTATCATCAAGGCAGGAGCATGGCAGCGTCCGGGCAGGCATTGCACTGGAGAAGCTGAGAGTTCTACATCTTCATCTGAAAGCTGCTAGCAGAATACTGGTTTCCAGGGATCTAGGACGAGGGTCTTGAAGCCCACATCCACAGTGACACACTTACTCCAACAGGGCCACACCTTCTAATAGCGCCACTCCCTGGGCCTAGCATATACAAACCATCACACACATTATGGGGAGGCCAAACATAGGAACGGAACCTAGAGGATTATATGGTTTCTGTGTGAGGCAATGTGATAAGTCAGACAGTGTAGTTTGACTCTGAAATGTCTCCCTGTAGGTGTGTGCTTTAAACACTTGTACAAAGCAGAGTCCTTCCTCAGATAGCCGCAGAGCCTTTAGAAGGTGGGGCCTGGCTGGTGGAAGTAGGTCCTAGGGGTGGGCCTTAAAAGTTATACTCAGCCCTGGGTCTGGGCCGCTAACCCTGCTTCCTGCTCTGTAGCATGCACCATTCCTCACTGCCATGGGCACCCCACCACCATGCTTCCCTACCATGTTGGATTAAAGTCTCTCTAAAACTGAGAGCCAAAATAAACCTTCTTGTTTTCAGTATGTTGTACCTAGGATGTTGCTAGATTTCTTTTTTCTGATAACATTGATATATTTTGTGGTGTGTGTGTGTGTGTGTGTGTGTGTGTGTATGCATACATGCCATGATGCATATATGAATGCCAGATTCTCTCCTTCCAACATGTGGGGCCCAGGGATGGAATTCAAGTTGCTTGGCAGCAAGCAGTAACCTCAACTGGACAAGTTTTGTGTCACAGAGTGTCAATTCTAGCCTTTGTGTGTATGACCAGGGACAAATAGGTACCATGAGGGAAGGGTATGTCATTGTGGAGACCCGTTTGTTTATGCGCTGATGCTGTGGTCAGTCCTTGTTTACACCCAGGCCTCTGACTTCTCATGGGGGTATTCATTGCCAATGTCTCCTTCACTGTCTTCGGGTTACTTCTGAGCTTACCTGTAGAGCCACTCCTCCACAGAGAAACCTCCCAATTATCTTCAGTGGGTGTATACCCACAGCAGCCTTCTTCCTTCCCCACTCCAGGAACTGGATGCCTTCCAGCCATACCCAATTGAGATACTTCCAGGCAAAGTCTTTCTGGGCAAAATTAGTCAAGCCTGCAATGCTAAGATGCACAAGGATTTGAAAATTAAAGCACATGTCAATATTTCCTTGGAGACAACACCCTAGTAAGTAAAGGTGATACTGTGTGTGTGTGTTTGTGTGCGTGTGTGTGTGTGTGTGTGTGTGTCTGTGTGTGTGCAGATGTCTGTGCGGGTGGAGGCCATATGTTAATGTTGACGGTCTTCCTTTTGTCATTCTCCTCTTTATTTTTTTAAGAAAGGGCCTATCTGCCGGGCGGTGGTGGCGCACGCCTTTAATCCCAGCACCTGGGAGGCAGAGGCAGGTGGATTTCTGAGTTCAAGGCCAGCCTGGTCTACCAAGTGAGTTCCAGGACAGCCAGGACTACACAGAGAAACCCTGTCTCGAAAAAAAAACCAAAAAAAAAAAAAAGGAAAAAAAAGAAAGGGCCTACCAGTGCACCTGGTGCTCATGGATTGGATAATCTGGCTAGCCAGCAAGTTTGGGGAGTTTTCTCTGTAGCTCCAGCCCTAAGTTTCCACATGTGTGCCCCCACTAACCCAGCTTTTTTTGTGCGGATGCTAGAGACTGTGGCACAGGCCCTTATGCTGTCTAGTGGACATTGTGCTGCCTGGGCATCCCTGCGCTCCCTCTGCCCATGCTTTTGTTTTAGGTGAAGTCACTTGTTTACGTGTTTCTTAGGGCCGAAGTTTGTTGTGGCTCTTTTTCCACAATAGTACTAGAGATTAAACCCAGGTCTCCCCCACACTGGCCAAATGCTGCTCTCATGAGCCACGCCCCTTTCCTTCATTGGAGGGTTCTTGTTTCACCCACTCCACCAGACCCTCCATGGCAAATTCTAGGCAGATGTCTAGTCAGACGTTCTCTGTGTGCATGTGTGTAACTATCTGTCAGGGCAGGCCATGACTATCTCCAGTGTCCTTCTGCTCCTGACAGGACCTCTCACTGGCCTAGAATTCACCAAATAGGCTAGGCTGGCTGGCCAGTGAGGCCAGGGATCTACTTGCCCAGTGCTGGAATTCCAACTGCAGGCCACCAAGCCTGTTTTTTTTTTTTTTAATAGAAGTTGTGAATCAAAGTCAGATCCTGATGCTTGCCTGATAAATACTTTATCAACTGAGCCATTTTCCAACACCCAGGTACTATTTCTATTAGTTCCTGTCATCCTGATGCCAGCCCCTAACCATTCCCTTCTGGTGCTGTGGACATTACACACTACACTACACTACAGTGTGGCTGGCTGATCCCCCATGTGTCGCGTGACTTTTCCTGGGGAGATGTGGAGAAACATCTACTCACCCTGGATAGGACACTGGTGACAGATGGCAGTAAGGACACCACCATCAAAGTCCAACCTAGACAACCAGTGACTTTACTGTGGTTACTTAACAGGTGCACGTGTGTAGGGAGGTGACTAACAGGGACATGGATGACTCACAAGCAGCTGAGTCAGGATTCATGATAGCTAGGACCTTGGAGCTCCTTGCATGACTCACAGATAGCTCCTCAGGCCAGAGTCTCCTCTCACCTGCAATTGTTACTACCTGTATAACTTGGAGAGGGGCCTTGTGAATCTTGTAAGTTTCAGGAAATTTTGGGGGCTTACAAGTTGCTCATTCCTGAGCTTTGGAAGTTTCCTTTACTTCCTGAGTGTTAAGAAGCCTCCCTCCTGGAAGGAATGCTCCAGTAAGGCAGAAACAGATACTCACACTGTGCTGTATCCCTTCAGCTTTGTAGGCAATGCAGACAAGCTCCTGCATGTCAAGGTTGAGGATACTCCAGATTCCATCCTTTTTCCTTTTCTCCGCCACATCTGTCATTTTATGGGTAAGGAGAATTTCCAGATTTGGGAGCATTCTATGTGTGTTGACAAGTCTCTCTCTGCTTGAGGCTCCCAGGACTTGGGAAAGAGTATAAAATCTAGCACATTCAGCTGCTCAGAATCCCTCAGCCATATGTACATTAGCAGCTTAGAAGGCGTGCCCCTGGCCCATGTCAGCACCACACTGTATCTGATTGTCCTTTGGCTAGATGGCTATTCCTTCTGAGCTAGTCATACAGTGAAGATACTGGCCAAACATGGGTGCACCGAGTTTGGGGTGCCTGCTCCTTTGTGGGGTCTGGGGCCTCAGAAATGCTTCTCTTTCTATTTCTGTGCCCAGTGCTAGTCAGTAGAGTAAGGGAAGGAAGCCACCACCCCCAAACCCATGCAGCTCCGACTCCCATCATGTTTCCTGTATTTACTTGGCTCTGCTCTGGTCCCCCACTTGGCATAGCAATGCCCATCAGTCATTCCCAGGGTTTAGCATTGACCAAAAGAAGCAAGAGTGCCGAGCAGAGCTAAGCTGAGTCAGGTCAGGGGTCTTGACTGCCAACATGGTACCAATATGACCCCAGCGGCTAGGGGTGGGATAGTAGCCTCCACTATCCCTCACTTGCCCAGGGATTCACCACTTTTCACTTTTTAATTTTTTTTTCTACTTGAGTTCTACAACCAGGGTGGAACACATGCTAGGTCAGTGCTCTACCTCTAAGCCACGCCCCCAGCCCCTCACTGGGGGATTCTAGGCAGGGGCTCTACCACTGAGCCACGCCCCCAGCCCCTCACTGGGGGATTCTAGGCAGATGCTCTACCACTGAGCCACGCCCCCAGCCCCTCACTGGGGGATTCTAGGCAGGGGCTCTACCACTGAGCCACGCCCCCAGCCCCTCCCTGGGGGATTCTAGGCAGGGGCTCTACCACTGAGCCCCTCACTGGAGGAGTCTAGGACTCACAGTCCTCTTTTTCCTTTTGACAGTGTCTCCCTGGGTTGCCTAGCCTGACCTTGAACTTACAGTCTTTTTTTCCTCTTAGCCTCTGAACACCTAGGATTCCAGCCTGTGCTACTTGGCCTGCAAGGATGGTCTCCTGATGGCCACGGAGGATCCCAGGGGAGAGTGCCATGCACAGCCTTTCTCTCTCTTCCTTTTGCAGAACTTCACCTCAGGCTCGGCTCTGTCATTCTGGTCTTTTCCACCCGGGGCATCAGCCGCAGTGCTGCTGCTGTGGTGGCCTTCCTCATGCATTATAATGAGGAGACCCTGAAGGTTTGTGTCCTGGGGCTTGGGGGCTGGAAGGTCTGGGGGGCCTGGGAAACCAGGAGGGCTGGGGGGCCGGGGGGGCTGGGGGGTCTGGGGGCCCTCTACTGGGACAGTGCTCCCCTGGCTTGTAAAAGGCTCTGGGTCTAAGTGGGGCATGGTGGTTTGTTTACACTTTTAATCACAGAACTCAAGAAACAGAAGCAGAGGCAGGTGGATCTCTGTGAATTTGAGGCCAGCCTGGTCTACAGAGTGAGTTCCAAGATAGCCAGGGCTACACAGAAAAATCCCATCTGAAGAAAAAAAAAAAGTATTGTCTCCTGGGCAAGAATTGAACCATAAGCACCCTGGGAGGGAAGTCTGAGCTGGATCTGGGCATACTTTAGACTACAGTACTGCCAGAGGGTCTTGCCTTTAAGATAGGATGGAAAAGAATCAGGGAGGAGAAATCTGAAGTTTAGATGTCCCCCAGTCCACAGTGCTCAAGAGTAAGGTCCCTCTGCTTAGACCAGGAGATTCAGAGCAGGGTCTCAGCCAGTCCAGTCTCTGGATGACGGTTCACCTGTATGGCCATTATCTTAGTTGTTTATTTTTCTAACAAATAACTAAAGGGAATTATTATGTCTTTAATTCTAAATCTAAAGAGATTTATTTTATTTTTATTTCTCCCTATCTCTCTGTCTCTCCCTGTCTCTCTGACTCTCCCTGTCTCTCTGTCTCTCTCTGTCTCTGTCTGTGTGTGTGTGTGTGTGTGTGTGTGTGTGTGTGTGTGTTTATCAGATCCCCTGAGCTGGAGTTACAGGCCTGGCCGTCTGCACCAGCAGCGTAGGCTGCTCTGACTGCTGAGCAGTATTGCCAGCCGTGTCTGTTGTTCTGATAAAACACTCTACAAAAGCAGTGAAGAGTGGAAGGGCTGATGCTGGCTCACCTTCTCAGGTTATAATCCATAGTGCTGGGGAAGCCAAGGCAGCAGGAGCTTGAAGCAGCTGGTCACATTGGATCACCATGAGGAAGCACAGACTGACTGATCAATACCGCAGCCGTGCTCACCGATGGATGTGTACCGTTCACTTTCCCCATTTTCTACAGACTAGGATCCTAGCCAGGGAATGGCTGCCCACTATAAAAAAATGAGTCTTCCTGCATCAGTTGATACAATCAAGACAGTTCCTCACAGACAGACCCACCAGCCAACCTACTCTAGACAGTCCCTCATGGAGACTCTCTTCTGGGTGACTCTAGACCATGCCAAGCTTAGAACTGAAATTAACGGCCACAGTCCCCAAGTTAGTTTGGGTTAATCCAAAGGAGAATTTCATGGAGCCACAGAGTGGCTGGGCTGGCTGGGTCTTCCTTCCTTCCTTCCTTCCTTCCTTCCTTCCTTCCTTCCTTCCCTCCTTCCCTTTCTCCCTTCCTCCCTTTCTCCCTCTCTTGAAAGCAGAGGGACAGAAAAACAGCAGGAGCTTGTATAGCAACGCCAGAGGGTGTCATGACAGATGTCAGGCCAGAGCATGTCCTGGCATTTCCCATGATAAACTTTGCTAGTCACAACCTGCTTGCAGGCTCAGAGGGCATGAGATTCCAACCTGGGGGGGCATGGCTCAGTGGTAGAGCACTTGCCTAGAAACCCCCAGTGGGGGCTGTGGCTCAATGAAAGAGTACTTAGATATCCCCCAAAGAGGGCCTGCAGGAGGAGCTGAGTGTTCTTTGCTAGAATACGCCAATGAGTAGCAATAGTGCACTTGCCTAGAATACATAAGGCCCTGAGTTTGATCCCCACCCATCACTGGGAAAACAAAACAAAACAAAACCTGAAAGCTGTTGAACCATCCAACTGTGACAGTGGCAGTCCTTTCTGGCCAAATCAAAGTAGAACCTGAGGCTTCTAGCCAGGGTGGGTTGAGACAAGGGTAAAGTGAGCCTCTCTGGCTTGGCTCCTTCCCTAGCTAAGCTAGGACCTACAGGGTGTGTTCAGCCCTTGCTGCCTGCTTTGCTTGTCCCTGCCAGTGGTAGATGCTGGATGCCTCAGGTCCAGGTAAGCCTGGACTCTGGAGGAACCCTGACACTTTTTGGAGTAGCCATCTTTGTCCTCTTTAGAAAGTCTTATTTCTGGGCACTCTTCCCAGAGATACCTTCTAGGTAACTCTTTGCCAAAAAGAGCTGTTGAGCTCCCTTTGCTGTCACTAGCAATGCCAGCTTCTCACTTGGCATGGCAGTTGGCTCACTAACATACCTTGGCCTGGGCTTGACCACAGGAGGCTGACGTGGAAGTCATTGCCTGTAAGCTTGGCTCTCTGGGTTTAATGGCTGGAACCTAACTAAAGCTGGAAGGAGGTGGAATGTGGAATGACTCCACATTCGGCCTCCGCAAGTGTACACTGGCAAGTGCACCCTACCACATATATAGCATGGACGCTCTCTATATAACATGATAATAAGTCATTTATTTGTTCATTCGAGACAGGGTTTTTCTCTGTAACTTTGACTGTCCTGGAACTCACTCTGTAGACCAGGCTGGCCTTGAACTCAGAGATATCTGTCTCTACCTCTTGAGTGCTGGGGTTAAAGATATGCCCCACCACCACCCAACTGCTTGTTTTTATTTCATGTGTACTGGTGTTTCTCCACCTGTGTTTCGTGCACACCATGCACGCAGTGTCCCCAGAGGAGAGAAGACAGATCACACCCACTGTGAGCCACCATAGAAGTGCCAGGAATTGAAGCTGGCGCTTCTGGAAAAGCATCAATGGCTCGAAACCTCAAAGCCATCTCTCTACCTCCCCATTTGGTGCCCTCCATTTTTAAAGATGGGGTTCCCTATGTCGCATACATTTTGCTATATAGTTCATAGTGGCCTGGAACTCACTATATGACTGGGCCCATCTGCAGCTGGCTATACAACTCAGGCTTACAGGGAATTCTTGGTGTAACTGCAGGCTAGACTTATAAGCCTTCTCCACACCCCCACCTCCTGAGTATTGGGGTTGTAGCCTTGTCCCACTGTCCCTGGCCCTTTTAGTCCTTTATATGTTCCCTAGCATTTTTCCAGATGTGTTAAGTGTGAGTACTGTCCCTGAGGCTGCACAGTTCCAGATAGTATAGCCAACACCCACAGGGCCCCAAGGTAGCAGGAAGAACCAGAGCCTGCTGACCCTCACCAAGTCTGCCTCGGCAGGTGCATCACATTTCTGTCCCAGATTAGACAGGACAAGCCTCACGAGCCTGTGAGAGTCCCAGCAGATGTGTAATGAGCTGAGGTGGGTTCACGGTGCCACATTCTTGGCCTGTCCTAACACAACCAGTCCCTAGTAAACTTAGAGCAGGATGGCTTTGCCCCCGGCACCAGACACATTACAGTTGGCTGCCTTTGCTTTGTCTTTTGAGACAGGTTCTCACTATGTAGTTTAGGTTGGCTTCAGACTCTGGCCTCTTGTCCTCTATCAGCTTCCTTTATGTTGGCCTACTGGCTATTCCTCCTTTATCATCTCATTGTGTTTTTATTCACATTGGGATCCCTGTAGCCCAGGTCTCAAACTCAGTGGATAGCCAAGGAAGACCTTGAACTTCTGCATCCACCCCCAGCACTGGGGTTACAGGCCTGTGGCAGTGTGTGTGTGTGTGTGTGTGTGTGTGTGTGTGTGTGTGTGTGCAAGTGCCTGCCGGGAGACAGTGTTGGATCCTCTGGAGTTGGTGTTGCCGATGATCATGGGTTTTGGGAACTGAACCTCAGCAAACCAGCAAAATGCTCCTAACTCCTGAGTCATCTCTCCAGGTAACGTCCTCAGTTTTCTATGGTCTGGGGTCCAGCCCAAGGCCCCATGTAGGTAGGCAAGCACCCTACCAATTAAGCCACACCCCCACGTCTCCTAATGATTTCTGAATGTGTACTGTAGTGGTAAGCACATTTGGGTTCGGAAACCTAGCTCGTAACCTTGCAAAACTGGACTTCTGTGCCTAGTGAATGGTGGCTACATGTTCTCTCCTGATCCCAGCCTCCGGCGGCCACCACTACTTACCGTCCTCAGTTTGTCTTCATTCAGTACCTTACACAATTCACAATTTCCTTCTGTGTGTGTGTGGGTGCATGAGTGTGTGTATGTGTGTGTTGGAGGACAGATATCCCTCCTCAGGTGTCATCTACCTTGGATCTCTCTCTCTCTCTCTCTCTCTCTCTCTCTCTCTCTCTCTCTCTCTCTCTC